CGTGAGCCACTGTGCCCGGCCAAAAGCCTCGACTTCTAAACCATCCTAAACTGTCTCTCAAGGTCTTACCCTCATCTGCCAGTCTCCTCTTTCCCTGTTAGAAGCTCAGTCCTCAGCTGCATCTGACCCACTCCAGGGACGGCTCCTGTCATCAGCAGGTAATAGACATGCTGGCATCAATCCCTACGGGCTCCAGATTTTCCCGGAGGACTCTGGAATCTGAAATCCGACATGCACTTTTCGAGGACGCCCTGGGAGGCTGTCACCTGCTTCTGAGGGCTCCTCTCTGCCCTCTGTGGCTATGCAGCACTCACAGAGGCTGGGCGGATTTTTGGGTTTAGGGCTGCCACCCTTGGGTGGCTGCAACTCCACAGCCCTTTGCATAAACCTGCGTCTCACCTTTGAGGGCACCTGAGAGCAAGCCTGTGCCTCACCTGCAGCCCCCTCTGCGCCCAGCCTCCCTGCTACCTTCCTGTCTCCACCCCAGGGGCCTTCCTTCAGCTCCCCAAAGCCAGCGTCCCTCCCGCTTGGGACTTTCATTTCTTCCAACTCCTTCCTTCAGGGCACCTATCCTCCAGGCCCTCCGCACACAGCACCTTCTTACCTTGGATCTTGACTCAGACGTCAACCCCTACAGGGCCTTCCCTGACCCCGAATGAAGCAGCCCCTGCCCCTGCCCAGGGACTCTGCCTCCCGATGTCTGTTTACTTCTTCTGCACACCTTTCAACTGATTGATCTGTTGACTCGTGTAGCCTTATCCTACCAGGATGTGGCCTCCTTGAGAGCAGGGGCTCTGTGGGATTTGTGCACCAGACCACCCTGGCATGCACCACCACTGAGAAACTGAGAGGCTGGAACCCTGCCTATCGGATAGTTGACACCCAATGGAATTGTCTGACAGAAGTGAGAAGAGATAGACAAGACTTTCTGGAGACATCGAGACAAAGGAATGGGAAGGAGAGTTGTGATCTAGTCCAGTCTTGGGTTTGGATTCAGAGGGATACAGAATCGCTTCCGCTGCTGATCACACACAAGGTTCTCCTATGTTCCTGCCTTGAAATTGCAGTAGGTCCTCATGTAATATCATGGATAGCTTCTAGGAAACTGCAACTTTAAGCAAAATGATCTACTATGTGACAAAGACAATTTTACCACAGGCTAACTGACATAAACAAGAGCTAAGGCCAGACACAGTGACTCATGCCTGCAATCCCAGCACTTTGGGAGGCCAAAGTGGGAGGACTACTTGAGGCCAAGAGTTCAATACCAGCCTGGGTAAAATAGTGAGAACCTGTCTCTACAAAAAATCCAAAATAGTAGCCGGGCAACGGTGGTGTATGTCTGCAGTCCCAGCTACAGGGGCTGAGGGCAAGGTGGAAGATGACTTGAGCCCACGAGTCTGAGGCCACAGTGAACTGACTGTGCCAGTGCACACCCGCCTGGGTGACAAAGTGAGTCCCTCTCTTTTAAACGAACAGACCAACAAATGAGTTAAGCTCCTATGGCATACAGTGCATACAGTACATCGCCGCATTTAAAGTCTGTTTCCAAAAACCTATTGACGTTAGATGAGAACTTACTGCAGAAGGGAATTTCGATTCTACCAGTAGGGAAAGCCCTACTCTCACCCTTCTGCTACTCAACCTGGTGGTGAAAGCTGCCAGGACACCTGGCTGCCCACCTTTACTCTGGCCACCGACTCTTGCTCTCCTCCCACTCACCTACCTGTCGTTGCTTTATTGAAAGTGCCTCTGTTGTCCCCTTCCAGGTTCGGCCACATTCTTTGAGTCACCTTCTGTGAAAAGAACATGGCTTTTCAGGGCAGATGTATCTATTCCTGCCCTAATGCCACCCAGTGGCTCACCAGCAACTGCCAAATGAAGCCTGGTAACCTGGCCCTCTCCTCCCTTCCCCAACTGAGGTCACTCAGGTCCACCTGCAATGCCCCCCCTCCCTCTCCAGGCCCCCCAGGTGCTGTCACCAGCTCTGTCTATGTTTCTGGCCTCACCTCCCACCACTCTCTATGGCTCACCACACACTCCAGCTTTGGGGATGGCCAAATTGCTTCTGACCTCAAGAGCTTCACAAGTGCCATTCTACCAGCCACTATATTATTCTTTAGGCTGAGCTTTCATGTTGGATGGATGGGAGAATGAATAGATGGGTGAGTGATAAATGAATAAATGAGGGAGGGAGGGATGGATGGATGGATGGATGGATGGATGGATGGATGGCTGAATGGCTGGTTGCATAACTGGCTGGATGCATGGATATATGGGTGGGTGGATAGATGGATACATGGGTAGATAAATGAATAGATGGATGAATAGATGGGTGGGTGGGTAGATAAATGGATAGATGGGTGGATGGATGATGGATAGATGGATGGATGGATAGATGGCTGGCTGGATGGCTGAATAGATAGATGAATGGATAGAGGTGTGGATGGGTGACTGGATAGAGGGGTGGATGGGTGAATGGATAGACAGGTGGGTGGATGGATGGATGGATGAAAGAAGAGACAGATGAAAGAATGCAAGAATATGTGTATGAATGGATGAATGGACAGATGGACGGATGGATGGCTGGGTGAATGAATGGATGGGCGAATGGATAAGTGGGTGGAAGGATGGTTGGATAAAGGGATAAAGGAGTAGAAGGGTGAATAAAAGCCTAGACAGATGGGTAGATGAAAAGACAGATGACTATATAGATGGATAAATAAATTGATAAATGGATGGATAGAAGAATGAATAGATGGACAAATTGATGTAGGAATGGATGGATGGATAGATGAAAAATAGATAAATAAATGAAAGAATAGATGAATATATAAGTGGACGAATGAGTAAATGAATAGATGGATGGATGGATGGATGGATGGATGGATGGATAGATGGATGGATGGTGGGTCGGTGGGTGGATGGATAGATGGGTGAGTAGATGGATGGGTGGATGGTTAGATGAATAGACAGACAGATGAATAGATGGGGTCGAGTGTGGTGGCTCATGCCTGTAATCCCAGCACTCTGGGAGGCTGAGGCAGGCAGATCACCTAAGGTCAGGAGTTTGAGACCAGCCTGGCCAACATGGTGAAACCTTGTCTCTACTAAAAATACAAAAATTAGCCAGGTGTGGTGATGGATGCCTGTAATTCCAGCTACTCGGGAGACTCAGAAAGGAGAATCACTTGAACCTGGGAGGTGGAGGTTGCAGTAAGCCAATATTGCTCCACTGCACTCCAACCTGGGCAAAAGAGTGACAATCCATCTCAAAATACATATATAAATGGGTGGATGAATGGATGAAAGAACAGATAGATGAATGGATGAAAGGATGTATATATGAATGGATGGATGGATAGATGAATGGATGAATGGGTAGATGAATGGATGAATGGCTGGATGGATGATGGGTGAATAGATGACTGAATGAAAGGATGGATGGATGAAGGAATAAAGGGGTGGATAAAAGACTATATGGATGGATGAAAGGACAGATGAATATGTGGATGGATGAACAGAAGAATGAATAGATTGATGGAGAAAGGAATAGATGAAAGAATAGAGGGATATATGAATTGATGAATGAGTGGATGGATGGATGATGGATAGATAGATGGATGATGGGTAGATGGATGGGTGGGTAGATGGATGGAGGGATGAAGGGATGAATGAAAGAATAGATGGAGAGTCAGATGGATGGATGATTAGACATGAATGGAAGAGTGGTATCAGCCACGTTTTCCAATTCTATGAATTAAAGAAGCAGAGGCTTAAATATGAGCAGTTTCCAGGCACTGCTCTTCAGCATGAGGTCATGTTTTCCATAAGCCCCTCTGTGACTCACAGCTCTGTGCCCACCATCAGACCACAGGTCTTCTACTTTATTTACTTCTTTTTTCCTTTTTTCCTTTCCTTTTTTTTTTTTTTTTTTTTTTTTTTTTTTTTTTTTTTTTTGACAGAGTCTTGCTCTCTCGCCCAGGCTGCAGTGCAGTGGTGCAATCTCAGTTCACTGCAACCTCCACCTCCCAGGTTCAAGCAATTCTCCTGCCTCAGCCTCCTGAGTAGCTCGGATTACAGGTGCATGCCACCATGCTCAGATAATTTTTTGTATTTTTAGTAGAGATGGGGTTTCACTGTGTTTGCCAGGATGGTCTTGAACTCCTGACCTCGTGATCCACCCACCTCAGCCTCCTAAGGTGCCGGGATTACAGGCGTAAGCCACCACGCCTGGCCCTACTTTATTTCTTAATCCCAGGTCCCATTTTGTTTCCTGTATCTCAGCCCTAGGCTTTTATCCTTTTCTTCACATAAGAAACATTCACTGCGTCTTTTTGTGCCCCCTGCAAAGAAAGAACAGTTTCTTCTTTTACCTGGATATTCTTTGTAAAATTTGTGTCTCAGGATTCGCCCATCTGGAAAACAAGTGAGAGGAAAAAACTTCCTTCAGGAGTTTAGAAGGCCAAAGCTGTTTTCATAATAATACTGAGGACTTACCTGTGTTTTTCACTCTCACCATCTCACTAGTGTGCAATGGAATTGTTCAGAGGCTACGTGAGCATTTTTCATGTCTCAGCTCTAATTTCTAATGGTATCCAGAGTCACCAACTCATAAAGGAAAGCCCTGTGAGGTCTTTTCAACATATGTGAGCATAAAGAGGTCTTGAGAGCAAAAAGTTTCAGAACAGCTGCCATTTTTTTTTTGTTTTTGTTTTTAAATGATGTCTTGCTCTGTCGCCCAGGCTGACATGCAGTTGTGCAATCTCGGCTCACTGCAACCTCTGCCTCCCGGGTTCAAGCGATTCTCCTGCCTCAGCCTCCCGAGTAGCTGGGATTACAGGCATGCACCACCACGCCCGGCTAATTTTGTATTTTTAGTAGAGACGGGGTTTCACTGTATGTTGGCCAGGCTGGTCTTGAACTCCTGACCTCAGGTGATCCACCCACCTCAGCCTCCCAAAGTGCTGGGATTACAGGCGTGAGCCGCCATGCCCAGCTAGAACCACTGTCTTAACAGATGAACTGGAAGCCAAATTTCAACTCACTGTTGAGTAAATGTCATTACAGAATACGTTCACATGGGGAAGAGATGGCGCTCTTTTGAAGTCTGCCCAAGAGAGACTCAGATTTCATTACTGCAAATGACAAAGTAACCTGAGTATGAATCCTCACTCATTGTCTTTGAGCCTCAGTTTCCTCACCTGAAAATAGGCATAAAATTAGTACCTCTTAAAGTTATTGTGAGGATTAAAAGAAACTATTTCATTTAAAACACGTGTGTAGTATTAGGAGGAACCATATGAAAATGCAATCTTTGTGTGTAGACAGTGGTCAAATGCTGGCAAATTCAAGCACAACGAGCTGTGAATCCCCACTTCGTAACTCCCACTGCCGTCCATCACTGACCTCCACCTCTGTCCATGGTAGCAGGAAAGCATTTGTCGGTGAGAATGTGGCCAGCACATGTGGATGTCTTAACAGGCAATCTCTCCCAATTTAGCTCACTTCTCCATCCTGTGATCAGTGCTGTCTTCTCTGCTATAAGGTCAATTAATCACGTGTATGCAGTAGCCAGCCAATTTCTTTTTCTTTTGTTCTGCGGTTATACTAAAAACCATCAGGGTGTTTGGGACCAGGACTGACATTTATTGGTCCAGGTGATAACACCCCACGGAGATGCTCCAGGCCCTCCGGTGGCCAGCTGAGCAGCAACTGTAGCAATAACTATTTTCCAAAGAAAACGGCTAGGGTTTTTGTAGGCTGGGGGAGCTCCCTGAAATATCCCTGCTCCCCTTTTATCTGGGGGTGAATTCTGGTCCATAACATCACAAGGAAACAGAGGTAAATGTGGACCCTGGACTCCTTCCTCGGGCCAAATATAATTATAGTTTATTACCAAAAGTGATTACTCATCACCTGTCTCAGGTTTCCTCCCCCCTCAAGGCTAGATGAGCCCCACTTCATTCTTCTAAAGCAGTATCTTGGCCAGGACAAGCAGGGGCCAGACCCCACAGCTCAGCTTCCATGTGACCTCAAACCTACTCAGAAAAAGGCAGCAATTTTCCCTGACCCCACTCTGAAAAACCAGATTTACTATATGTGTCGATGTTCATTTTCCTCTTTCATAAAACATGAACCCCTCAAATGCCTGGTTCTAGCTGCCAGACGGTCAAATTTGAAGGACTACTGGTACCCTCTAGAAGCCTCTCTCGGGGGAGGCCGGCACCTTAGGTGTGGGCACAGGATCTGTCACTTACTCTCAAATGATCCAAAAAAATACAGATGTAGATTAATAAACGGGGAGAGAGCATTAAAGCAAATAGAACAGTAGTTTTTTTAAATATTGGTAAATCTGGGTAGAGGGTTCAAGGTGCTGCTTTTGCAACATTTTTGTAAATCTAAAATTATCTCAAATATGTAATAAAAAGCTTCTTCCTTTGTTAAGGCTGGGATGAGAGGGGCCCACTTCTCCCCTGAGATTTTTGTTCCAAGCGAAGTTGCTGGGATTTGAAATGTTTTCAAATGTATGTATAATTACAATAAATTACCAGTAATTATTGCTTAGTGTCAGCCCCCTGAGAACAAGGCTAGGGGGAATTCCACTTAAATTTCCACTTGGAAGGCTCAAATAATTCCTTTGGGGGGGTGTGGGGAAGCACGCTCACACAGACACACACACACACACAGGCTCTGAGGCTGGTGGACAGGCTTGGAATTCCAGCTCTGCATCCTTTGGGTGAATTCCTGAACTCATAACCTCCCTTTCCTAAGACAGAATGACAGTGGCACACATTCACTGAGGACCTACTGTGGGTTAGGTGCCATTCTAAGCACTTCGTAGGTGTTTTCTCTCACTCAAGCTCCGTAAGTACCCCATGAAGCAGTCACTATGGTTACCATCACCATCTCTATTTTACAGATGAAGAAACAGAGGCTAGGAGAGGTTGGGTGACCTGCTCGAGGCCGCCGAGGAACACAGTTACAGGCTTTGAACTTCTTTCTATGCCGCGCTGCCTGCTGGTTCGACTCCTTTTGCAGGCTTGCAGCAAAGCTTAATTTAAAGAGAGCAAGCACTCAAAAGGCGCACGTGAACAGGAAGCATCATTGGTGTGCTCATCACTGAATAACTGGCTCTCTTTGCTTACCTCTGTCTTGAAATGGAAATTTTTTGAATTGGTTTGAACCCTTAAGAACTAGTTTGACTTGGTTTGACCTTGGTCTTAGAGATCACAGGGCAGGATGAAAAGATCAGGGGATGCAAAAGACAAGAGCCTACGGCTTTCCTATTATGCCATCATTATAAATGGCAGCATAGTCCAAAGAACTCAGAACTTATAACTCACCCCACAGCTCTCTTTTAGAAAGGGCTGTCCCTGGCCGGGTGCGGTGGCTCACATCTGTAATCCCAGCACTTTGGGAGGCCAAGCAGGAGGATCACAAGGTCAGGAGTTTGAGACCAGCCTGGCCAATACGGTGAAATTCCGTCTCTACTAAAAATACCAAAATCAGCTCAAAGTGGTGGCAGACCCCTGTAGTCCCAGCTACTTGGGAGGCTGAGGCAGGAGAATTACTTGAACCTGGGAAGCAGAGGTTGCAGTCAGCTGAGATTGCATCACTGCACTCCAGCCTGGGTGACAAAGCGAGGCTCTGTCTCAAAAAAAAAAAAAAAAAAAAGAAAGAAAAAGAAAATGAAAAGGCTATTTTCCGGGCATGGTGGCTCATGCCTGTAATCCCAGCACTTTGGGAGGCCAAGGTGGGCGGATCACAAGGTCAGGAGATGGAGACCATCCTGGCCAACATGGTGAAACCTCATCACTACTAAAAATACAAAATACTAGCCAGGCATGGTAGTTCACACCTGTAGTCCCAGCTACTTGGGAGGCTGAGGCAAGGGAATTGCTTGAACCCGGGAGGCAGAGGTTGCAGTGAGCCAAGATTGTGCCTTTGCACTCCAGCCTGGGTGACAGAGTAAGACTCCACCTCAAAAAAAAAAAAAAAAAGAAAAGAAAAGAAAAGAAAAAAAGAAACAAACAAACAAAAAAAGGCAAACCCTTCCACACTCCAGCAGCCTCAGACAGGCTGGTCAGCCCTTGGGGTTTTTACATACAAAGGACCACACATCCTACCCACCCACTGCGGGATCCAGTGTCTAGAGACAAGCAGTGATGAAACGGTGAAGACTGTGTGTTCTGTGCTTATGAAGCAACACACACCGTCTACACGGATTAACTCACTCCTCAAAGAGCCCTGTGAAGCAGCTCAAGTCTTATTAACCCATTTGACAGATAAAGCAAATGAGGCCTGAGAAGGTTATGGTATTTGTGCCCACAGCAGTAAGGGGATAAGTAGCCGTGGGAACTCAGGCTATCTGGCTGGAGAAGCCACCCCGTAACCCCAAAGGCCTGCAAATAGCACGTGGAACACAGAGCAAACCAAAAAGCCGTCTCTTTGTTTCATAGCCTTTTGTAGATAATTTCTTCAAAGTTCAGGATTCCAGGATTCTCAACATTTTACATTTTTTGTCTATGCCTCTCTTGAAACATTTCAGGTAAATCAATTCTCAAATCAGAAAAAAAAAGAGATTTGGGGAGATCAGGTACCCCCAGTACACTTTTGGCAAACAGGGTCACTGTCATTATCACCAATGTTGTCCGAGGGTCCTGTCCTTAGCTAGGAGGGCTGTGAGCACAGGCGCCCCTGGTGTGGTCTCAGTCTGATTGACCTTGACTTTGATAAGGTGAACCTGAGCACCCTGAAGGCCCAGATGTCTGGCTTGCCCCACGTTTCATTCAAACTCCATGCCAAAAGCACATTGAAGCCTTTCAACTTTATTGCCTTGCGTGGGGTTGGAGATGATTTTAGACATCACCAGGAATCGCTGCTCCACTGTCCCACCTTTTCTTGGGAAAATTATGCCAATGAAAACAACACCATTCTCTCATCTATTTACTGCCTTTGTGTCCAAAGATGAACACAAATCAAGTCAAACTGAAGAGTCTGGCAGAAGTCCTGGGAAGCTAAGGATTCTCAGACAATTCTAATTCTATGCCGTTCTCAGATACAGATGCGCCTTTAAAATAGACTCAGGTGCTTCCTGACTTAAAATGGAGGTAAGTACTGATAAGCCCCCTGCAAGCTGAAACCAGCTTAAGTCAAAGTGCTAACCTACAGAACATCGTAGCTTAGCTGAGACTCCCTTAAGTGTGCCCACAACACTTAAATTAGCCTGGAGTTGGGCAAAATCATCTAACACAAAGCCTCTATCATGATAAAATACTGACTGTCTCGTGTAATTTGTTGATTGCCATACTGAAAGTAAAAAGCAGCATGGCTGGATGGGAGCCTGAAGTATGATTTTCTGAATGCATGGCGCTTTGCACCAGTGGAAGGTCAAACAATCGTAAGTTGTCCATCAAAAGTTGGGGTCCATCTATGCATACAGGGATATAAAACATCCGGTGTTGACTGACCACCTACCATTGCCTAGGGCTGCCCCGACAGCTATGCATCTATGATTTCAGTTACTCTCCACAACAGCACGAAGTAGCCCCATTTTACACACGAGAAAACTGAGGCTTAGAGACAGGAAGAAATTAACCCCAGTGTCGCCCAGCTGGGAGGTGCAGAGCTGGGGTCTGCAGCCAGTCCGCTGGCTCAAGAGCTTCTGTTGCGTGCTGGTGTGGCAGCGAAAGGGTGGAGGTCATGAGAGAAGGAGCCCGGTGGCGGGAAGATGTGACGAGCTCTTGTCAGGCCCGGCTGCCTGCCGGGGCTGCTTCCTGGGGCAGGTCGCCCATGGGAGTGGGAGGGGGGACCAGGGCAGGGGCCAGGAACGGGATGGGGGTGCTGCACTCACCTGCTGGCCGGCGCTGCTTGACGCACTGCCCACGGTTGGGGATGCCCTCGGCCATGTCACCTGGGCTGAGGATGTGGCACTCATAGCCCGAGGGACAGAGCAGGGGTTCCGCCCCGTCCTCCGTGGTGCTGCATGCCTCTGCTGTGGGACAGACACACACTGGGGTCTAGCAGGCAGACCTCCAGTGCACGTGCAGGGAACACACCCCACCCAGAGAGGCCATCTCACCTCTGTACCCCAGGTTCCAGGCTAGGCCTTGGGTCTCACTCAGAGGCATGTGATACACACACACACACCCGCAGACACAAACACGCACACAAACACAGGCAGTCCAAGGTCACCTGATCACAAACGCTCTCACGAACACGGTGACATCCATACAGACATGTTCACCTATCCACCCTGAAACACACACTCACCCCTACAGTTACACAGGTGTACACACATTTACACACACAAGTTGGACACACAAATATATACAAGCATATACACACATTCATCCCCACACACAAATGCTGTACACACATATCCACACACACATACACATTCACCCACACATGTACACACTTATAGCACAGTCACACACCTCTGCATGCACACACACACACATATTCAGCCACAGCCACAACAACAGCCATACAGTTGCACACATGGCTGCACACTGTAGTGGACACAGTCACACACAGATGGGTGTGGGGTCAGAGGCACAGCCTCACGTGTGCAAGAGCACACGCTCTCAGCTCTGCAGGCCTCCAGGACCCTGACTGGCATGCTGTTCCTTTCAGAAGCTGCCCTCTGCCTCCTGATACCTCCCCCACCTCCAAGGGAGACCTCATCATTAGACAGCAGTGAACCCCCTATAATTCTAGGAATTTGAAAACTAACCCCGAAAGCCCTCCCCTTCCATTCTCCACCCAGGAGGAGGTCCCAGGCTTGCGAAGAGTCAAAGCCCTTATTCTGCACTGGGCTTTGATTCTGGCTAAGCCCCCAGACATCAGCCCTTCCATGCTGGGGTGGGGAGGATCAAAGAGGGCTGAATGTTTGGCTAAAGGGCCTGCCATGAGGGACAGCCAGCCTGGTGCTACCAGCTTTCTGGAAGTGGCTGAGAAGCAGGGACTGAGGCTTGAAAGTAGGGTCTGGGCTTTACCCGGCAGGTACCTTGCAAAACCTCTTCAGGGCCATCCAGGAGCCAGCCATTGCCACCAAGCCATCGAGGTTTCGGCTGCACCAGCCAGTCTAGGACTAACACAACACAGGGTCAAATCAAGGCCTTCCTCAGGTACCTGAGAAATGCCCAGGCTTGGGGGATGGAAGTGCCCCCTTTGGATCATGGCACAGAGGCTCCCCATGGGAGAAATAACTATGGTTCCTGGCACATCTTCACCCCTTGCTTTTAGTGATAGAACCTTTCACTGTGGGCTGGGCACAGGGCCACCAAGGTGGGGACTAGCCTTCCCTGCCTCCCTTGCAGCTACATGTGGCCATATGGCAGGGTTCTGGCTACAAGGATGTCAGCAGCAGCAGCGAGCACGCAGCCTCCCATCTTGCCCTCCCTGCTCTCTGCTCCCCTCCCTCCCTCATTCCATTTCCTGCAGGCTGGGAGCCCTTCTGACCATGTGGACAAGGACATCGCTCAGACTGCAGGGTGGCAAGAAGGAAGGAAGCCAGCTCGCTAGACGGCTTTGCGGGCAAAGCTACCTGCCTGCCACCGTGTCACCTCTGCGCTCACCGAGGGAGAGGCAAACGCCTTGCAGGTTGGGGCCCTGTATTTATGGGTCTTTCTATGCAGCAGCAGAGCCCGCTCTCTAACTCACACTGCTTTTCTAACTTCTAGGTTCAGGGGTCCATATGCAGGTTTGTTGCCTGGATAAATTCCCTGTCGCTGAAGTTTGGTGTATGGGTGATCCCATCACCCAGGTAAAGACAATATATTTTTAGCACGGTTTACAGGAAGGCCTTCCAAACGCAGGAGTTGAAAACTCAAATGCTTCTAGGGGATGGGTAGATGCCATTAAACAGGACAGCAGATCAGGCAGGGCCACCACAAAGCAGAGAGTGCCTCCCGCCTGGATGAATCAGCTGCGGTTAGCCCTGCCCAGCCGTTTCCAGTGCTCCCAGACTGATTTTCTTTCTCACTGTCAGTTCTTATTCTATTCTATTTCTTTATTTACTTATTTATTTATTTTGAGACAGAGTCTCACCCTGTCACCCAGGATGGAGTGCAGTGGTGTGATCTCGGCTCACTGCAACCTCAGCATCCTGGATTCAAGTGATTCTCCTGCCTCAGCCTCCCGAGTAGCTGGGATTACAGGTGTGGGCCACCATGACTAGCTGATTTTTGTATTTTTTGTAAAGGTAGGGTTTCCCCATGTTGCCCAGGCTGATCTTGAACTCCTGACCTCAAGAGATCTGTAGCCCCTTGACCTCCCAAAGTGCTAAGATTACAGGAGTAAGCCACTGTGCCTGGACTATAAATCTGTATTTTTAAAAACAGAATTCTTCTGTTTTTTAAGCATCAACAAGTAATTTTAAAACTTTTTAAATGAATGATTATGATTATTATTACTAATATTATTTTTTTGTAGAGATGGGGGTGGGGCAGTCTCTCTATGTTCCCCAGCCTGTTATCGAACTCCTGGCCTCACACAATCCTCCTGCTTTGGCCTCCCAAAGTGCTGGGATTACAGGTGTAAGCCACAGTGCCTAGGCAGAAAACTTGAAGCCTGTTAGAGATAAAAACAGTTTGGAATCACATTTGCCTGTGACCTTTGCATTCATTTGACTCCAAAATAAGACGAAAAAAAAAAAAAAACTACTAATACTTATCTTTATAAAGAGAATAGAAAAATAATTATCTAGCATCATTTAGAGTACATGGATGGGTACCGGTAAAAATGCTGGTTAGCTTTTTCTGTAAAGGAGAACTCGCTGATTATAAACACAGTGGAAGCTGCAGCAGCGGAAAAAGGAGCCAGCAGTCAGTAACCTCTGAAAGAGAAGGACGCGATGGCTCTGCAGCCTCTGTGCCCAGCCTTTCGGTTCTTCCCCTTCCCCTCACATCTAACCACGTGTTAGGAAACATTTCCAGGTAGGAAACGCAGTAACGTGTGCTGTTCATATTCCCTTTTGCGTTGATCAAAGGCTTCTGAGCAGCAGAGAACTAAACAAAGTTTGGAATCATGAAACTTGGTCCGGACTTCCCATCGCTCTAGCTGAAGACCCTTACATGCCTGGTGGCCCCAGAGTCTCAGCTCTTCATGTCCTCGCTGGAACTACCTAGGATCACCTCCCAGATAAATGACCTGTTCCCAAGTCCTCGTCGCTGGGTCTTCTTTGGAGGGACCCAGATCCAGATGGCAATGAAGTAGTAAGACACCTGGAGCAGGGCCTGACATGTTCCCTGTCCTCTTAGACCAGTGGTTCTCAAAACAGAGCGGTTTTGTTCCCCAGAGAGCATTTAGGAAGGCTTAGAGACGTTTTTGGTTGTACAACTTGGGGTAGTGTTGCTTCTGCCATCTAGCGGAGAGGGGCCCGGGAGGCTGCTGAGCACCCTGCAGTACACAAGACAGTGCCCCTCCCCTGGCCAGCAAGGAGAACCATCCAACCCCAAATGTCAATATGCCAAGATCATGAAGTCTGGTGTTAGATATCATGGTGGTTGTTCTTACTAGTGATAGAATTGCTCTTCCTGCTGGCCAGTGAATGAATGATTCATCATTTACCTCTTACATGCCCAGAGACCGTTTTAGACGCTGGGGTTACAGCAGTGCATGTTTAACAGACAAAACTCTGTGCCCTGTGGGGCTGACCTTCAAGTGGGGGAGAGAACAGTCAATGAAGAAACAAGAAAAACACAGTCTTCCAGATTACTCTATGGAGAAAAAGTAAACAGGGGTGGAGGGTAAGGAGTGGCCAAGGAGGGACTGTCATTTAGAGAGGGAAATCTTTCCTGTGAAGTGGCCTCTGGAAAAAGGGCTGAAGGAGGCGAGGAAGTGGGCCATGTGGGTGTCTGGGGGAGGATATTCCTGAGAACGAAGGACCCCACAGGTGGGCGCAGGTGCTAGAGCAGGAGCCCCACATCCCCGCACTCATGGCCCAAGGCAATAAACACTTCTCTACAAGCAGACCACTGGATGGGAAACTGCCGCTCTGCCTGCTGTGTGATCTTGGAAGAATGATTCAGCTTCTCTGGGCTTCACCTGTGGCATAGGACTAATAATAACGGTCATCAAGCTGTGTGAGCATGAAATGAGATGAGGTACGCAAAGGCTATTAGGAATGCCATGTACAGTTGTATCATCTGTGCACTGCTCAAAAGCACCTGGTCTAGGCAGCAAGCAAGGCTAGAATCCCTATGTCAGGTCACATTCCCGAGGAAAGGGTACCTTTTTTGATGTGCCTTTATGTGCTTGTCCACCGTGAGCGGCGACACTCAGTTTTTCTTATGAAGGCTGAGTAGGAGGCTGCCTGACCTGGAGCAGCAGCCAGGTCCTCCCAGAGCCAGTACTCAAACAGTCGCTGTTCTTATGAGCAGTATCAGACCGTAATTATGAGCATGATTAAGTGCGCTGAGTCCCTTGTCATCGCTGTGACCTCACCCCAAAGAAAACAAAGTGTGGTCATTCTTGTCATCTCTGACTTTCCTCTCAGCCTTGGGAGGAGGGGCTGGGCCACACTGTCAGAGCCACCCTCCCTAATTAAGACCCGTGGGAACCCAGGCCTTCCGAGGAAGGTACAGTGCGAATAGCTGTTATCACCCTGAGCAAAGCTGAGGGTGGAGAAAACTTCCTTGCCCCAAATCCTACCCACTTAGGGGCACATTTACCCCATCCAGGAAATAACTACCTGTCCACCCAGCCCCCACTTACTGTATCCCATGGGGTCGCCTCCTTCTCTGCCCAAACCTTCTCTCTGAAAGGGATCTGAAACTCCGTCCTGCCAAGGAAGAATCCCTGAACAATGCTTCTCCCCAAGACGTTGGCGTCCTGATCCAACACTCATCTCATGATCTGCTCCCAGCCCCACGTGGTGCTGAGCACTTCCGACTAGCAGGCTCACTACAACCCACCTCCTGGGTTCAAGTGATTCTCGAGCCTCCGTCTCCCTAGTAGCTGGGATTACAGGCTCCTGCCATGACGCCTGGCCAATTTTTGAATTTTTAGTAGAGACAGGGTTTCACCATGTTGCCCAGGCTGGTCTCGAACTCCTGACCTCAGGTGATCCACCCCATTGCACAGGAGAGAAGACTCAGGAAAGTGACAGCTGGCCGGTGGATCTGAAGCCACGCCCCCGCTCCTCTCTGTGGCACACCCCATGTGGATTGCTAAGCACCCGGTCTCCACCTCAACTACCCCAGGGCCAGGCATGAGAAGTGCGGCGGGCAGGTGGGGTGAGTAGGAAGCTAGAGGAAACCTCCTCATTCAGGGGCACCTGAGGTTCCAGTTGGTGGTAGCCCAGAGAACGAAGTCCAGCATTTTAAAGAAAAGCCTCAAATCTGGATCTTTTAAATGAGAAATCCCACTGCACTCCCATTCTCCTATCAGGGGGGCAATTTCCTGGGAATGGGTGACTGTAGCTCCCTGGAGGCAGCTGGGGTCCCTGACCGCCCCCCCCATTTCTTTTTTCTTTTTTTTTTTAAATTTAATTTTATTTTTCTCCAATGGCTAAATTTTCCTCATTTTTTTTTTTTTTAACTTACATTCTAGGTTCAGGTGTACATATGCAGGTTAATATATGTAAATTGTGCATCATCGGGCTTTGGACCCCACCCCATTTTCATAGGAGGTGACATTTTCTCTGGAAGGGCATCTCCCATAACGCAGGTCCCCGGGGGCAGTAGGACACGTAGCAGGTGCACAGCAGCGCTGTCTGCTCCAGGTGGGCCCCTCCCAGCTCACAGGTGCGCAGTCTAGGCGCCAGAGTCCCGCCCAGGTGGCCCAACTTTAAGCCCAGCTCCCTTTTAACCCCTCCCCCGAGTCCGGCTCTCCCCTACCCGAGACAGTTCGGTTTACCGGTCGATCCCCACCCCTCCCCCCACTGCCCAACCCCCTCCCTCGGGTCCAGGACCTACCTGGTGGGGGCGGCACGGCTTCCAGGCAGGCGTAGGCGCATCCATTGTAGCAGCAGCGCCGGTGCCGCGGACACTGGGAGTCCGCCTGGCAGCGCGCGGCCTGGCAAGCGCCGGGGGGCAGCGTCCGTGGGGGCGGCGGGCAACGGTCCGCTCGGGGCTGCCGGGAGCCGCCGGGCGCGCCCGCTTCCTCGGCCTGCGGGGAGAGAGCGGCGGCGTCAGCGGCTCTGGGGCCCGCGTTCGAGTCCTGGCGCCGCCCGGAGCTGTGCACCCGGACAGTGTGCGGGGCCTCTATGAGCCTGCGTTTCCTCGTCTGAGAAGCAGGCAGAGGAGGCAGAGCCAGCCTCGGAGGGCGGCCCAGAGGGTCAGAAGATACCGTGTTTCTCTTTATAACGGCGCATGAAGTTAAGTGAAAGCCCAGAGAAAAGGATAAGCCAATATCGCTGTGTGTGCTGGAGAACATTTACTTAAGCATCTATCCTGGCTGAAAGAGAGATTATATCTAATACATAATATATCTGGTACCTATGTATATATACATGCACACATATATGTATGTACATATGTATATGTACGTATGTGTGCATTGCTTATAATCCATGTGTTTATATAGACCTTTGAGAATTTACAAATTATACACAGAATGATTAAATCCATGCAACAACTTCAATACATCCCACAAACAAAATAATAAAGGGGAAAAAACCCAGATCAAAGAGAACACCACAGTGGGATTCCACTTGTATTTATAGCTCAAAACAGGCCAGGCTGATGTCTGGTGTGAGAAGTCAGGAACTTGATGGGCAGTGACTGGCTGGGAAAACGGGGACTCTGGGGGCTGGCCCTGTTCTGTTTCTTGGTCTGGGCACTGGTTACATGGTGTGTTTACTTTGTGGGAATTCATGGAGCTGAACACTTAGGATTTATGTACTTTGAAGTATTACGTTTTAATAAAAAATTTAAAAATAAGATATAGGGGCCAGGTGCTATGGCACACACACCCGTAATCCCAGCCACTTCAGAAGTCGAGGTGGGTGAATCACTTGAGCTCAGAAGTTTGAGACCAGCCTGGCCAACATAGTGAAAGCCCTTCTCTACTAAAAAAAAAAAAAAAAAAAAAAAAAATTAGTCAGGCATGGTCATGCACTCCTGTAGTCCCCTCTATTTGGGAGGCTCAGGCGGGAGGATGGCTTGATCCTGGGAGGTGGAGGCTGCAGTGAGCTATGATCGAGCCATGACACTCCAGCCTGGGCAATAGAATGAGACCCTGTCTCAAAATATGTGTGTGTGTATATATATATATATATATATATATATATATATTACTCTAACATATAGGAATATGGGTGAGTGACCAACGAGAGCAATTATTTTAGAAATGAGACAGAAAATTTAAGCCACCGGGCAAACTGCCCTGGGTCCCCTGACACCAGACCCCATACATGCCAGTAACACTGTTCTGCTTCTATGAAAATGGGACGTGTTGTGACCAGATTGTATGCATTCATGCACACATACACAGAGTTAGAGACAAGACAGATTAATTGCGGAAAAAAACACCCTGGCGTGCGCTACCTCCTTTCATCTAAAATGTTTCACCTACTTATGTTCCCCCTTGTCCTCCCCCAACATATTCAAAATCTAGCCCCCTTGTGCTGGCCAAGCACAAAGGGCATATCTGCAGACTGGAATGGTATACAGCCATGAAAAGCTGCCCCAAGGTGTTGGCAGAAAATGAAATAAAACTCAATGTGCCATATCTGAAGGATTGCCAGGATGTGGTGGCTCATGAAGAAAGCCACAGTGCAGGACAGCGTGTTGGCTCTGCCCCATCTGTTTTTAAAAATATATGCAGGTGTAATATGTATATGTTTGCATAGGCTTTTTTGGAACGTTTTTGGAAGGATACACAAGGTAACACACACACAAAAAAACATTATGAAAGTTGCCTTTGGAGAGAAGAAGAGGTGGAAAAGCTGAGAGAGCTTTCTTCCTATTGTATATTCTGCACTGGTTCTATATATATATATACATATATATATATATATATATATATATATATATATATATATTTTTTTTACCATGTACATGTTACTTTTTCAATTTAAAGACAGTCTCCGTGCAGAGCAAGGGCACATCGTCCAAGTTCCAGCTTAATCTAGACTTGACTCACAGAACCGCACAAAACTACGGAAGCTGCTTTGATGACTGTGGGCACCGTCACCTCCAGGCCTTTGCCCAGGCTTTGCCCTCTGCCAAATGCCTGTTCCTTCAGGTCTGCCAGATAGACCATTCCCCAACACTCAATCAGAATTCTCAGCTGGGAGGTGCTTCCTTAATGCCAGCCCTCCCAGGCCAGGGTAGGCGTCACCCCCCACCCCCCACTTCTGCATCCCCCACCATCATCACCCTTGCTCGGTGTCTGAATCTACCATCAAATGTAACCTGAGAGCGACGCCCTCAAGGGAGGGCCTCAAGTCTCCTGCATCTCCTCATGCGCATACCGTCGTCTGAATAAAGGTCCCCAAAGACACCGGTCCCTACTCCCTGGAATCCTAAATCCAAAAAGAAAAAGCGTCTTTGCAGATGTGATCTTTACATGGGGAGACAATCCTGCATTACCTGGGTGGGCCCTAAATCCAGTCACAAGCATCTGAGAAGAGGGGAGCAGAGGGAGATTACACACATGCACACACACATGCACACACACACATGCACACACACATGCACACAAAGCTCACACACATGCACACACACATGCACACACACATGCACACACACACATGCACACACACAAGCACACGAACACATGCGCACATACACATGCACGCACACACACGCGCACACAAGAAAGTCATGTGAAGATGGAGGCAGAGATAGCATCTACAGACCAAGGAATGACCACGACTGCCAGCAGCCACCGGAAGAGGGACTGGCAAGGAAGGAAGCTCTGGAGCAGCGGGTAAGGCTCTGCTGACCCCTGGATCGCAGTCCAGTGAAACTGATGCTGAACTTCTGGCCCCAGAACTGTGAGATAATTCATTTCTGTTGGTTTAACCACCCCTCCTGCCCCAGTTTGTGGTCATTTGCTATGGCGGCCCCTCCCTGGAAACTTTGTATCTGTCACTGCCAGGCACATTCTGTAAATGAATGCCACCCCACGCCCAAGTCCCCACAGTGGCCACCTCCCTGGCCTCACTGCCTCCAAATCCATCCATTCTCCAAACTGCAGCCCCAAGAGGCTTTATGAAAGGCACCTGTGGATTCAGTCGCCTCTATTCTCCAAGCCCCCAGGGGCTTCCCACACCCTTGGGACCAAATTCCAGCTCCCGACTCAACCTCCAAGGCCTGTGCCAACCGGGTACAGGTTACTTTTTCAATGTAATAATTTAGATATAGGATACATTGGCCTCCTCTCATCACCCCTGACGCTCCTTGTCCTTAAATGCCAGCAAACTGCCCGCCTCCTCCCTCACCCTCCAAGCACATTCCTCTCCTCAAACCATTTCCTCCAACTGCGTTTGTCTCATCCAGCAGAGTAGAGGGGCAACCAGAGTGGACTCTGCAGCTCCCGGGCTGGGTTCAAATCCCGGCTCTGAGGGCTTAAATCCTCTCTGCCATTCACTGGCTGTGTGACCTTGGGCAAGCGTCAGTTTCTCCCTATAGAACCTCCCTCCTGGGGCATCCTGTGTCTACACCCAGGATGGCACCTACACCCAGGATGGCGCTTACACCCAGGATGGCAGATACACCCAGGATGGCGCTTACACCCAGGATGGTGCCTACACCCAGGATGGCAGATACACCCAGGATGGCAGATACACCCAGGATGGCACGTACACCCAGGATGGCGCCTACACCCAGGATGGCACGTACACCCAGGATGGCAGATACACCCAGGATGGCACCTACACCCATGATGGCACGTACACCCAGGATGGCACCTACACCCATGATGGCACGTACACCCAGGATGGCAGATACACCCAGGATGGCAGATACACCCAGGATGGCGCCTACACCCAGGATGGCACTTACACCCAGGATGGAGTCTACACCCAGAGCCATGCCTACACCCAGGATGGCGTCTAGCACAGTGCCACGATCATCATTCGCACATGCTGTTCCTCTGCGTGGAAGGCTTCCCGCCCTCTTCTATCGGCCAAATCATCCTTCAGTCCTCAGCTTAAATGGCCTCCCTAGGGCAGCTTTCCCAGACTAGTCGAGATGTGTCTAGTACAGCTCATTTTTAAGCCCTCACCACCCCACACTGAGGGCAGAGGCTGTGTCTGTCTCTGCCTGGCTGGTGGGGTGCTCTGGCCTTCCTGCATCCCTAGGGAGGTAGCTGCAAACTGCATGTGCTGCCGCTACTGCCCTGCAGGGGGCACCAGGTCTCCGGGAACAGGTCCTGTTCGGGTGCCCCTGGGAACCGGTGGCATCACCAAGGCCAGAGGTGTTCAGCTGCTCCCCGGGAGTCTCAGGGCCTGAGACTGAGGGCATGAGGGGCAGAGAGCAGGAATGGTTGGTCAAGCAGGTGGAGGATGTGGCAGGAAAGCCTGGGGAGGGGGCTCCTTGTCTCCATCCCCATCCCTGCTTCACCCAGAGAACCCCTCTTTTGTCTTGTAGACATTGGCAGCTAAATTCACGAAAAGTGAAAATGAGCACTAAGCTGGCATTTGATGGATATGGAGACAAGGGCTGAAGGAGGTGAGTCATTTTTCCCAAAGACAGAGGGAGACCAGAGCACAGATCAGTCCTTTTATCACCTGCTTCTCCGCCCAATCTCCCTCACCCCTGTAACCATCACCAATAACTTCCCAGCTGCAGCAGCTGTATAATCCCACGCCATTAGCTCTTAGTTCACTTGCTGCAGAATTAACTAAATTGGACCCATGTTGGGGTCTGCCATTTTTAATCCTAATCTAACATGACAGCTGCCCCAGCCTCTTTGGAGGGTGGTTGAGAATGCACCGTGCGTCGTTGGAGAGGGTGGCTTATTTTTCTGCCCAGCTTGTTTTTCCATCAAGCCTCATTTATGAAATTTAATGGAAGCAGGTGATCAGAAGCAAAATGCTTTTCATCCACCTCAAACACCTCCCAGTCCCCTGACTTCCTTAATGGCAGCCCCAGATGGGAGGGTATGCAGAGAGATCAATGTGAGATGTGCCCCTGTCTCAGAGGAAAATTCAAATGTCA